GACTTTGGTGTGATGCAGGGGACAAGGTCCTAGTCAGTTTTCAGACCTCGGTCCAATGCAGTGGGCAAGGCCCAGTATGTGCTTTATATGTTATTGTATGGTATTTGGTAGTTTGGGGAAGCTCACTAAGCTTCGTGCTTACGGTTTCAGTCGTTGGTTTCAGGTACTCGGTTTTCAAAGGAGGAGCTCGGAGAGATTGCAGTGCACACACCATAGTCAGCTAGCCTGGGAATGTTTACTCTGATAATAAGATTATGTTTTGGATTATTACTCGGAAATTATGTTATGACTTATGATGCAGTTTTTATAAATATGGTTTTAGTAATGTTTTAAAATAAATTTTTAGTCGTGATTTTTGGGTCGTTTCACCAAGCATGAACACTATGTTTGTCTATGGTTTGACTTTGTGAAATAGATCAACTGAAAACATTCAATGATGCTCATTTCACAATTCCAAATCCTTATTGCAAGTGTAAGAAATCCAAATTCTTGTCACTGCTAGAAAGTGTTAGATTCTAGACTTATCATGCGATGATTCTTTTGTAATGTCTATGTTCCAAAAGTCACAGACACTTGATCAATGACATTACAAAATATTCATTTTGGAGATTGTTACAAGACAATTCCATGGAAATGAAGTCTCAAATTCAAAGTACATTCCTTTGAACATCCGTCTTGCATGAAAGTTTCTAACTTTTTCATCTATTCTTCAACTCCCAATATGGAAACATTCCATATTCCCATCTTGATTATCACTTATGAACAAGAGTTGTCTCTCTTCAGAATACGTCAATATGGTCCACCGATTTTTATACCACCCACTGTCCTTAAGCGACCAATCTTTAGCGAACCTTAGATTTTCCTTAACAACTGTTTAACCACTTTAGTCAAATCCGGTTCTATTCCGTTATCCCTCTTAATGCCCTAGGCATTTGGAAAATTTAGAACACGAGAATATTATAGCATATGCAATCGATCCTATACCCGAAGCATATGGGATACGCTTCATAATGTCTAATATAGGGACACTTTTAGCCATTGGGACACCATTTTTATTACTTAGGACCCTTTCTAGGGTCTGGAAAGGCAGCTTATTTCGTCCAAAACGTAACATGCACCAACTTGGGACTTTTGGGACAAGAAATGGTTTCATAAAGCTAACATAGCAAGATCTACATCATACAAGCACAAAGGTTGGAGCTTTTTACCTCCTGGAGCTTCTAGAGTATAGGGAAACCTGAGATCTACAAGCTTGTCTTACTTCTTCAACTTCTTGATGCAACACCTTCTTCTTCAACTAAAATTCTCGGGATGTTACATGTCCATCCTATTAGATGATTCGATCTCGGGACCTTTGCTGAAATATGTGAAAGGGCTTTCACTGACATAACCGTCGTTCCCAAAAAAAATTAATGTTTGAATTTGACATTTACTTTAATCTAAAACTTATGAGTGTCATACCACACTATACCAAATTATTGCACCCACATGTTATCGCCATAACATTTTTCTCTCACCCCACAAAACCGGTGGGTGTCATACCAAATTCTACCACACTTTTATTTTTATTTTTCTTTTTTAATTAAATAAACTGTGATTATATAAAACTAATAAAAGAAAAATACTTCATTGATTCAAAAGAATACATACTAGATTAAAAACATAAAAAAACATAAATGAAACATAGTAGAATAGTATGTGATGTCTAATCATCGATGTTCGCCACGTCATCATAATCCTCTCCCGAATCTCATTCAACCATTTCTGATTCGTCATCTATATAGTCGAACAAATCATCATCATCAAAATCATCAACAATGGGATTCACTCAAGCATTGAAGATGTGTTCCACAAATTCAACGCGAAGGTTTTGGTGTCCAACTCGGTCGTATACTTCCTCTTTGTTCGCTATGTACATCGTACCAACACCAACTACTTCGACATTTGGTAAATCGTCTTCCCCTTATCTTCTATAATTATATTATGCAATATGATACATGCTTACATCAAGCTATTTATTTGTTAGCATTCCACAGATCGTGTTGGTATTGCAAGTATCTGCCAATGTCTCTTTAGAACACCAAAGGCTCACTCGATATCCTTGCAAGCGGATTCTTATGTCGTCTTAAACTTTATTCTATTATCATTATTTGGATATGTGAATGATTTCACAAATACTACTAACTGAGGATGTATCTCATCAGTAAGGTAATACCCACGCTTGTATGATGTCTAATTTTCTTGAAACGGGACATCATACAATTTCCCAATGTAGATATCGTTAAATATCGACAATTGGTGTAGAACATTTATGTCATTTTTGGAATCCGATGGACCAAAACATGTATGTTGTACCCAAAGGTCATACGACACCACTATTTCTAAAATTATTGTCGGCTGTTTTTGATCACCTTCCATAAACAGACCACACCGCACAACAGATACATTGATCACCCCAATACATACAATCAATTATACCAAGCATTCTATGGAACCCATGCATGTTTTCATGTGTTGTACGTAGTTGGTGGATGTCACTAATTGTAGGCTTATGTAAAAAGTAACCACGATAAAGGATAATCACAACTTTAGCAAACTTGTATACACATTCTCACGTCGTTCGTTCTGACATCCTCAAATACTCATCTCATAAGTTTGGTCTCATGTTGAATGATAGTTTACGAATTATAGTTGTACATTTTTGAATTATGGAGACACATTTCTAACCTCTTCCGTCAATCCACGACTAAAAATATGGAAATCGGTTTTTTTTATCATCAACAATGCATAAAAATTATATCTTCCTCATCCGGAACTGACGTCTAATTTTTTCCGCATACACAACATCATCAACAAAGTAGTCATTCACAAGTTGGTTGTGTCCGGCTTCACGATTTCTCCATTAATGGGGATTTCTAATTGTTGGGCATGAACTTTCGCTTCATTTTCTTGTAAATAAGCAAGTGTTGTTCGTATGACGTCTCCGAAAAACATCGCTTTCCACAAGGCCAAAGTATCCGACGAGTTGATGACGATAAAGACATTTTCAAATAAAATTAATGTAAAGTATATATAGTGTTTGGTGTTTGTTTTGTGTTTTAAAATGAAAAATTAGAGTGTTAGTTTTGGATTTCTACAGGAAAATCCTAGTATTTTGGGAAAAAATTTTAAAAAGTCCTTTTTATAATAAAAAAGCCTAGAAAATCAAAAAGTTTATTCAATTTAGACATGTCATCAACATATGTGATATTCCAAGTTGGACAATTTTTGATATGTTCACTACAAAAATTGGACTTTTTGAGAGAAATGGAGAGCGTGGGATTCAAACCCATGCTTCATCGTGTTCATTTCACCACCTTAACCAATTGTACATATGTTTTATGCCTTTTACTCTCCACTCAAATGTTTTATGCATTAATTGTTGAAGCTTTTAATACAACCATTTTATTATTATTATTATTATTATTATTATTATTATTATTATTATTATTATTATTATTATTATTTTGAAAAACATAAATAAATATAATAATTCGTAAATAAATATGTTTAATATATATGTATTTTTTATGTATTTATATGTATTTATTAAATATTTAAAGTAATTTGATCTATTTTATGTATTTTAAATATATTTAAGTATTTTTTAAGTATTATTTTTATATTTTAAGTATTTAAGTATTATTATAAAGTATTTTTTAAATATTTTAAGTATTTTTTTTAATCTATTTTATGTATTTTTAATATATTTAGTGTTTTTTAAGTATTGTAAGCACTTTTTATGTAATATATTTATACGTAATAATACTTAAATTTATTAAAAACCTTAAAATATATAAATAATACATAAAAAATATGTAAAATAGATAATATATATATATATATATATATATATATATATATATATATATATATATATATTTACGATCTATTATATTTATTTACATTTTTAATATTTTAAATATATTTATTTACGTTTTTAAATATATATTTGTTTACGAATTATTGTATTTGTTTACGAATTAATGCATAAAAGATTTGAGTGGAGAAGAAAAAAATGAAATGTACGTGGTTTAATTGGTTAAGGTGATTAATGAAGCATGTAATCCCATGATTTCACTTTCCCTAAAAAGGTTTAATTTTTTTTTAGAAAAGTGGCTCCATATCAAAAAAAAAAAAAAATGTCCAACTTGGCATGCCACATTGGTTGATAATCTGTTGAACAGATAAAAACAGATTAAACTGAATAATTTTTCTGGTTTTCTAGAATTCTTTATTCAAAATAATTTATTTAGGACTTTTATTTAAAACTTTTTTTCCAAAAAATTGAAACTTTACCATAAAAATCTCATTTTAATTTATAGTAAATTAAAAAAAAAAAAAAGATCGTTTGAAGCCAATGGTCAGAAAGCAACCTTCAAAAGAAAAAAAAGAGTTATACCTTCCTCGCACGGTAACTATACCACACTATTTATATAGGGTCGGTATGATGTTTACCGCATATTACGGTAATATGTTCATACTGTGGTGTATGGTATATGACATATAGAAAGGTTGATGAATAAAAAGATAGATAAAAATAAGAAGTAAGAAAATATTTGATTTCTCCTAAAAAAAATATATATTAATACTTCATTTTAATAAATAATAATAATTAAGTATAATCAATTTATGTATTCTAATTGTATCCGAATATTCAAGTTCACAATTTTTTTTTTGGAAGTACAGTTTTATTTATCTTTTTATAATTGAATTTTAACGTATCATATTATTTACATTTCTTATAGAATATTGGCTTATGTGCATTAAATATGTTTAGATAATACAATTATCACAAAAAAGTAAAAGTTATATTATCAAACCACAAACATAAAACTCCAAATCATATTCTCTAAAATGGATCAAGCCACACTATCCTCTGCCTACTTCTTCTACAATACTTCTAAGCCAATGATTATTTGAACACCTCACTACCATTCATGGTGCAATCAACTACCGTATCATCGCCGCCACCGCCCACTACTTTCGTTGCTTCTGATTGTCATCCAATCGATCTCCTCCTCCACCATCCATGTCCACTTTACCTTTTCTGAGTTCCCCGCCAACTGTTCGATCCTTTGCCGCAAAGAGTACGACGAACACGATTGCCGGATAAAATCACTACCTACTAATGCCGATTCCTCCATTGAATTCCAGACGTCTCGATCTAGTATACTGGTTGGTGAACCTGTTCGCAAATCGCGATCCGTAATTTCCTTTGTGTGACGCTTGAATTGTTCGAGAAACGGGTGTTTGAGAAGCTCCGTCGCCCCCCACCTCTCCTTCGAATCCTGTATCAAACATTTGCTGATAAAATCCTTCGCTTGATATGAAAAAACATCTGGGATCTCCGGCGATTCACCGGAAAATCCAATTTTGTAAAGAACTGAAACAGGGTCGTTTACATTCGTCCATGGTAAACCACCAGTGGCCATTTCAATCACGACACATCCAACAGCCCATATATCGGCTGCAAACCCCTGTTCTTCCCCTCGCGCCACTTCAGGTGCCATGAACACCGGCGTCCCACAAACTGCCACACCTTCACTAGCCCACTTCGCGCAACCAAAGTCAGCAATTTTGACACCATTTTCATCGACCAACAAATTCGCACCCTTGATATCACAATGCACTACTCCATTCGAATGAAGGTACTCCAAACCTTGAATAATTTGTCTTGTGTAGTTCGATATCTCTAATTCATTCAAACGATCACAATTCTGTACTTTTATTGCATCGATAACAGTACCTCCTGACATGTACTCCATTAGTAAGTTGTACATTATCTTGTTTTCTTCTCTAGTAATGTCGTACCCTTTGTAGTTTACCACATAAGGACTACTCAAAATGGAAAGAAACTTTTGCTCTCTTTGCAAAGTCTCCGACTGTGATAAAACAACGGATTTGACTGCAAAAACCTCTCCGGTGGCGGTGGAGGTGGCGGTGGAGACGGTGGCAGAGGACCCCCGGCCAAGAACATGGCCTCTGCTCCACCTCATGTTTGATATTTTTGATGAATACAAGAGAAATCTTTGTTGGATATTTGGGGTTTAAATAAGAGATATGAAATAAAGCTTTGTTTTCTCTTGTTGGAAAGGTGTATGCAGCTGTTGGGTGGGAAGTCCGTAGGTGATCTATCTCTCTCTCTTTGTAGAGTTGGCTATGTGCCAGCGTGGCAAAAATGTAGGCAGCTTTTAGGCAGGCCAAAAGGGTGTTTGCCACGTGTCAACATTAGGTCAAAGGGTATGTGTGGTAGGGGTAACATTGTCCATAAACTTTTAGGGTGGCACATAATTGAGTAAAAATTGCTTGTACTCTTGAAAAAATTTGAGTCTTTAAAGGTTAAAAAAATTAGTAGGTTTGAGTTGAAGTTATGATTTGGGTTCATTTTTCATGTAACTTGTAAATGAAGTGTTTAGTTTAAGTAAACTTTGAAGTTTCAAATCATTTCGTTATTAAATTGTTATTCATGGGTGGTTATGACTTCTAAATCAAGATTTTTATTGAATGATTATAAAGAAAGACCACATATTCAAGAAATATATAGATATGAACTATTCAAGGTTTAAAGATTAACTTATATGGAAGTTTTATTATGAGTCTTGAAATTGGAATATGGTGGAGTTTTCTTGAATAAGGAATTGTTGTTTTCATCCTCTATCTACTCCATTGCATTAGCATCAAAAGGGAAGTTGATTGTTTGATGTATCATTGTTATATTGTAACATTCACGACTTTATTGATGTACTTGTAACATACTATTACATAATTCATAATTTAATTGATTAGTGTAACATATGAACATTTGACAACATTATATGATACAATGAAGACGTGTAGATTGTACTCTTCTTGTTCTTGGTAATTCATACATTTTATTTTCTAAGTCCAATTTAGATCGGGAATATGGACGAATAAAAAACAAGAATATGACCTTTAATATCATGGATGATATTTTGAGGGTGATCTTAAATAAACTAAAATCCAATTTATATTTCTTTTTTGGACTACTGTGAACTAGTTTTAACTATCTAAACAAATGCGATACCACGTGAAAAGTGAAAAGTGAAAAGTGAAAATTGAAAAAATAGACGCTTTCATGCGTGCGTGTGCCTTAAGAAAAATTTCTTATCATCTTCCTTTTTTTTTTTTTTTTTTTTAAATAAAATTTCTCTTGGTTTGGTAAGAGTTTAGTCACACTTAGTGCAGGAGTTTTTCTAGCATTCAAGACTTCAAGCCCCTCTTCTAAATAGAACAAATCTTGATTGTGTAAAGTCTACTTTAAATATGAATTATTTTCATAATATTTGATAAATTTGTTTAGAAACTTTGAATAACATGGAAATATTGTTTTCAATATAACATTCAAGACATAAGGCTATCGGGAGTGGAAGCGTTATTCAACCGTTGTCCACGTGAACACCACCCCGTACTTGGCGTTGCCCGACATTATGGTGAAGGCGTGTCACTCTCTCTCTCTCTCTCTCTCTCTCTCTCATTCTCTTCTTTTGTGTGTTAAGACCACCCCGGTGGTGGTGTTGGGCGTGGTTGACATGACGGTGAGGTGAAAGGTGGCTAGGTCGGAAAACGCCATCCCCCATTCTTGATAGCTTAATATAAGGAAATTAATAATAACATATCATACTAAAGAAATGATGCTCAAGGACTAAATGTTGAATTGATATCTTGAATTATATTACAAGATTTTTAATTTTTAGAAAGATTGTATGTCCTCCGTGATCAAAGAAACTTCAGACTAATATGTCAGGTGAGCGTTGAACAATAAACTTGGAAAGCATGGTCACATAAAGGAAAGAAATAATCATGTGTACTGTGAGAGGAGGTCCCAATAATACACTCAAATAATCAAGTTAGTGTATAAATCATCACCTAATGGCTCACTTATTTATTCATAAGGAGGTCCCAAGTTCAAATCCAAAGGGCTTCAACTAGCTTTAAGTAGGGGTGTCTAGGAGAAAGGCTCGCAAACATCAGTTGACAAGCATATCGAATCTTTCACCAAATGGTGAATCTTTACTGAGGGAGCCTGTAAAAACGAGAATATCCTTTAAAAAAAATCAAGTTAGTGTATTGTTATTTTGGGTTTAGTGTAGAGGGTTTAAGATACATATAGTTAAGAAATTGTGTTCCTTATTGACAGATTGCACTCGCATGTTTATAATGTTCACGAGGTGCCTTTTTTATATTTTAGGATTAGAAATGGAAAGTACATGCCTAATAGGTGGTGGGATAAAGTAATCTGTTGTCGAGTGTGTATTTCAACATGATAAAGGTGATTCTCCATGCAAGAATTATCTATTGTTACCATCTTGCAATTTTCTACAAAGATTTGTTTTGTTTGTTTCTGGATAGGATGAATTACAGTTCAACAATCTGGCTTTATGTGTTTACGTGTCCTCTAACTCGTACCTTTTAGTGGATGTATATTTTTGGACAATGACTTATTAAGGTAATTAACTTTTCGGTATGTTCATATCTGGGTAACTATCTTTTTTTTGTACATATGTAGGTAACAAACTTTTTGGGAGTGTTCACATATGACCATTATGACTTGCTATAGCAGGTTAAATCCTAAATGTGAACGCTTTCAACAAGTTTGTTACCTAGATGTGTACAAAAAAAATAGTTACCTAAATATGAACAAAACGAAAAGTAAAAATTAAATTACATGAATGGTCCCTGTAGTTTGGGGGAATTTGTGGTTTTGGTCTCTAAGTTATTTTTTTAAACTTAAATGGTTCCTATTGTTTGTTTTTGTTGCACGTTTGGTCCTCATATTACCTAAAAATACTATATATTGTGCCCTTATTAATTTATTTTTTTAATTAATTTTCTTATCTATGTTTATTTTTTACATATTTATAAAAATTAATATACCACACATATTTGTATCTCCTCGGATGATCCCTACTATTTATTTTTTAATTAATTTAATTTTTTAACTCGGATGGTCCCTACTATTTAATTTTGTTACGAACTTGGTCTCTGTCTTACCTAAAAAGACTATTGTGCCCTTATTAATTTTTTTAATTAATTTTCTTGTTTATGTACTTATGCTTTATATGTTTAAGAAAAATTAGTAGACCTCACATATCTGTATCTCCTCACCATCCCATCTTTCATCATTCTCAACTTCTATTTATTTTTCATCTTTAGTGATATCGACGTCTTCATCATCACTTCTTTTTTCGGTCCTTCAACTCCGTCGAAACAACACTACAACCCACTAAATATGAAGAGACAGTAGGTTATGGTGTTGGTTCTCCAGAGTTGAAGTACCAAAAAAAAAAAAGAATGACGGTGAAGACGTTGATGTTACTAAAGATGGAAAAGAAATAGAAGATGGGGAGGATCAGAGATGAGATGGTGAATGGTAAGACTCAAATTAAATTTCTCAAATGTGGTTTCAGGTTTACGGTGATAAGATACATATATTTGGGGTATATTAATTTTTTTATAAAAAATAAATACATAAATAAGAAAATTAATTTAAAAAATTAATAAGGGAAAAATAGTATTTTTAGATAAGACAGAGACCAAACGCGTAACAAAAATAAACAGTAAGGATCATCCAAGTTAAAAAAAAAAAATTAATTAAAAATAAACAGTAGAGATCATCCGAGGAGATACAAATATGTGTGGTCTATTAATTTTTTTAAATATGTATAAAATAAACACATAGATAAGAAAATTAATTAAAAAAATAAATTAATAAGGGCACAATAGTATTTTAAGGTAAGACGGGGACCAAACGCGCAACGAAAATAAATAGTAGGGACCATTTAAGTTAAAAAAATAAATTAGGGACATAAACCACAAATTCCCCCAAACCACAGGGACCATTCATGTAATTTAATTTTTAATTTTCATTTTGTTCATATTTGGGTAACTATTGTTTTTGTACACATCTAGGTAACAAACTTGTTGAAAGAGTTCACATCTAGGATTTAACCTGCTATAGCAGGTCATAATGGTCATATGTGAACACTTCCAAAATGTTTGTTACCTATATATGTACAAAAAAAATGATAGTTACCCAGATGTGAACATACCGAAAAGTTAATTACCTTGATAAGTCATATTCCCATTGTTTGAATCAATCTGGTGCAGCTAGTCATATATAAACCAACTACATTAGACTAGGGGCTTGTTGATATACCATAGATACATACTTATTATTATGAGCTCCTTCCCTAATGATTCCAGTCACTTGACGTGGACATAGAAGGTTATACCATAGATACATACCTGTGATTTAGAGCTCCTTCCCTAATGACTTTATTCACTTGACATGGACATAAAAGGTTATACCATATATACATACCTATGATTTAGAGCTCCTTCCCTAATGACTCTGTTTCTAGACATGGACATAGAAGGTTATACTCTATATTCTAAAGTTCACATCCATTTCCCTTATTTTGTCCCTTTTTCCCTATAAATAGAGGCCCCATATAATATTTCCTGCATACCACTTTTACACTTACTATTATATATACATAACTACTGCTATAACGTTGGCTCCATCATGCTCATAGAAGCCTACTTTATTTCACATTTTTTCTATTTAACGCCCATGTTTCCTGCTAGATTAGTCATAGTTTGTAATCATTTTGGTCAACTATTGTAATCTTTATATGAACGAATAATAAATGATTATTCATATATTTATGTGCTTATATGTTTTATACAATATTTTATGTGAATTATATAAGTATTTAATAATAAAATAAATATGATTAAAATATGCGTCGTATATAAAAGATTATTTATGATAAATAATCTTAACCAAGTTGTAGTATATGCGACAATGATTCCGTACACAAAGAATGTTGAAATCCGATTTCCTATGAAGAAGTTATGCTTCTTCAAAGTTTCGTGATTAAACCGACATGACTTTGCGTATTGTAAAAAGTAAATTTTTGATAAATTCTTTCTATCCAAAGTGATCTAATCGAAAGTCATAGTAGTCGTTAAA